GTTTGCCCAACCCACCAGTACGTACTGGTGGGTTGGGCAAACAATCAAGTTAAAATCAGGTCGACAAAGCTAGCATATGGTTAACGAAACGGAACACCAGCAGAACTGGTAAGCCATATGCCAACTTGCGTCAGCCTGATGTTATGAGGCGTTATAAGTTGTTTTCATTTTATTTGTAAAGGGTTCATCGACTGTTTTTTTATCAGTTAGGTAGCATACGACATGCTGTCTCTATGTTCGATTGTAGTTGCGATATTTCCGACATGAGCATGCTTATCTTTTTTAACTTCGGAAAATTCTAGGCTGCGAATGCTGCCAACTTCTACACGTTCAGTGCCGAAAATATCGACGGTGAAACGGTGTCCATGGAGAAATACAAGTAACCCTTCTGTTATGTTAAACTTGTTCTCTAATAATCAAGGGGCAAAGTTTGCTTGGTGGTGAATGTTGCTACCAAATGAGGTTTAACCGACAAAAATTACGCCCAGCTGCAAGAACTGTATACCACTTACGCTGGCCAGGGCCTCAATATTTTAGCTTTCCCATGCAACCAGTTTGGACATCAGGTAATTGTTTTATTTAACAGCACTGACTCTATTAGGAGCCTGGGACAAACGCCGAAATTAAAGCAAATGCCCTCAACAAATATCATGCTACCTTTGAATTTTTCGCCAAGTGTGATGTCAACGGCTCTAATGCTCTTCCACTTTTTAAATATCTACAAACCGCGCTTCCAGGCACTTTAACTAAGTAAGTTTCTCTACGTTCTTGATTGCACTAGATTAGAAATGCTAACCAAATGTTATCCACTGTTTTATGACCTTGTACCCATACCATTGTTACCCGTTTCGGCTGCAACTGCAGCCAGCCATCTTTGTTACAGAATAAGCACACATAACCTATGCGAATTTCGTTTCGTGCTAAGCAAATGCAAGGTGTTATCGTGTTATCGTGGGCTTAATAACCGGCGACTACTGTACTTACCTGACCAATAACCTAATTGCAAAATACTCCAACACTTTAGGGGTAAAATAAACTCATTTTCCACGAACAGGTCCTGCAATTTTGATTCGGTGAATGGTAAATTCAATTAAAGATCAGCTAAACATAGGCTGTTGTGCGAAATCTACTGTCTGGTACTGAGTTATTTCACTAAAAATGGCAATATGCATTACTGCTATTACATCCCTTGTTGGGAACCTGGACGAACTTTAGGTTTGCTATCACTCATGCGTCCCATTGTGCTGGTTCCATGCATATGCAGTTTTTTTCCAGAACGTTTCTCATGTTATATGGATGTTATACTTATACTCATTTCATTTGCCCCAGCGACCAGTCAGTTGTGAAACCTGTTGCGGTACTTCCACTTAGATTTGACTGGTCGTGTGTCAAGGAGACTTCGTAATCATTGCCATCTATTTTAAGGCCTAATTTTATTCTGGTAGTCGCCAATAATGAATTAGAGTTCGTCCGGAAAGACTGAGACTAGGAGATAGGCAAGCAGAGTCCCTTTACTTGTAATCTATCTCTTTTGTTCCCTGGGGCATGCAATTTAACGTCTACGAATTCATCCGCTCTTGTTTTTAGTTCGGTCAAATGGAATTTCACCAAGTTCCTCATCGCCCGTGATGGCACCCCATACAAGCGTTACTCGCCACAAACTGACCCCGTGGTATGTTTGGAAAATTTTATTTTCAACTAACTTTTCGTGTTCTACTTTCGCATAATTTCTACCGTAAGGCAGTACGATCTTTAGCCAGACCACTTTGTCGGCCGTTCATTGCAAATCTTAACTGAAGGCGAAGTCAAACTGCCCAGGCAGGCTCACCTGCAAGTTTTGTTTGGGGATTAAGTCTCCTGCTTAAATCACCCACGTGTTGCTATCCCGTTGAACCTGAAAGGTAGACTCAGCTAGCTACATACAGACATAACCTATGCATATTAGAGGGG